ACTACTTAAAAAATATGAGGAGTTCACTAAGCTAGTTCAGACTAAACAAAACTAAGTCTAAACTAGGTACTCTAAGTTAGATTTAGGAAACAATATTTCACTCTCCTAGTAGCTTGACATAGTGCCTTTAAGTTAACCAGGATCATTACCAACAGTTTGTCACTATTGATTATCTCAAAAAATAATGAATTGCTAAAGTTGATACTAGGGAAAAAGGGAAGGAGGAATACAAATCAAAGTCTTTCAAAAAGTTTTTGCTTTATTTCACAGTTTTCTTTTGAAAGGAGTTTTCCTGATTAGAATATTCTCTAAGTTTTATGGTATTTGAGGAACTTGGCTATTCCTGAAAGTAACTTCAAGAAGAATATTTGAGGAACTTATTCTTCTGCTAATATACAGATTCACTTATCATTAGTAAAGCCAGTACCATATTATAGAAGAGTTTGCCTGACCGGAATAAAGAAATCTTTCAAGAACTTTGCTTTACTAGGATAGAAGCTTGGAAACCTTAGCTTTGTTCAAGAAAACCTTTTCACCACCTGAGAAACTTAATGAAAGATGTGAGTTAGATTTTCTATTTCTACTCGTCACTTGCGTTTTGGTATCATAGTTGTTTCTTGGAGGTTAAACATACACAATTAGAGAGGAAACTTTTTCTAGAACTTTTTTTCCTACATACCACTAATGTATCGAGACATGTGAATGTAACCAATAGAAGCTTGTTTACTTTTCTTAAAACTAATATGTTTTGTGTCAGTCAATCACCTTTGATGAGAATTTATGTTATCCAAAATTTATTATCAAACTGAGGCAGACAAAATTTGCTAGAAAACCATGAAAGTGATAACTTTAAGAGGTTCAATAGTGACTAAAAGGGAAAAAATAAGCTTTTTTGTCATCAAAAACCTCTATATATCTCTTGCTTCAAAGGTGAAAAAAGTCTTTATATACTTCATTATTGGTTTTTTTTCTTTTGGGAACTTTCTTGTCATTGGTAACAAAGGTGTTACTTGACTTATTCTTGGTTATCAGAAGTCAAGTTTTTGATTAAAGAGGATTGTAAATAAATAAAGGGGGATAAAAATGATTCTTGAAATCACTCTTCAAGGTGTTTTAAGAAAAATATTAAAGACTTTTTTAGCAAAGAAGCAAAAAACTTCTTGCAAACATCTTTTTTATGTATGGTCAGAGGATTAGCAGAAAGAGTTTTTTTTTATATATAGTCAATTGATTTTGTAATTTTTTAATAAATTTCATAAAATTTGTTAAACTTTATAAATATCTATTGAATTTTAATATTAGATTTATAACTTTTGTCAAATTTTTTGTCACAATAATTTTTTTGTCAAATTTTTTTGTTACAGTATTAATTTTTTGTCAAATTTTTTGTTGTAGTAATTTTTTATTAAATTTTTTATTATTATATCAATTTTTTTATTGAATTTTTTGTCACTATATTAATATTTTTATTAAATAGTATATAAAAATTTTTTTCTTACTATAATATTATCAAATTTTGTATTGAATTTTTTTGTAAATTTTTTTGACAATTTTTTGTTAATATTTTTTATGTCTAATAACAGCAATCATCAATCTTTTTATTATTACATTTTATCAAATTCAATAATAATTTAGCAACTGAATAATATAATTTTAATTAATAAAAATTAATATCTAAATACTTTTCTTAAGATATTTCAATTCAATACTTATTTAATAAAAAAATCAATTAAATTGACTAGTTTAATATTACAAATAATAATAAAGAATAAAAAAGTAAAAAGACTATTTCAATTAAATAAATTTTTTTTAAGCTTTTTTTTTTAATTTTTTTTAATAAAATTTTAAATTATTTCTCTTTTTCAATTTTTTTTTTCTTTTTTTTTTTAACTTGAAAATTTATGATTTATAGATAATTTATAATTATAAACTATTAATGATGAATCTAATGAATAGAGATTGTTTATTAATTCCTTAAAGAAGTGAAATATTGTTTATTAGATCTAATTTAAAGTAAAGTACTTTGATACAATGATAAGTTGATTATTATATAAAAAATATATAATATTATAAATAGTTACATAATTTTTCAATAAAGATTAAATCATATGATATGATTAAAGATTTAATTTTTGTGAAATACTATACTATATATATTCTAAATATTTACAAATTAATATAACTTTTATATGTTAACTTACTTTTTACTAAAAAATAATTCTTCCAAATACTATGTAAAGTAGAAAATAAATAAATATATTATAAATAAATTACTTTATATATAAAATATATTTGACTACTTAAATAATTTCGAATAATAAAATACAATTAAAAATTCAAACAAATAAATAATTTAAAATACTATTTTTATTGTATTTTTTTTATATGCAATATGTACTGACTGTATTTGTAAAAAAAGCCACACAAGTATTCGGGAATGCATTACCATATTACTTCAAGTAGCACAAAACAGATTAGGATATCATGTCCACATAACAGTAACATGCAATGTATCACAATAAAGGGTGACCGTATCCAGCTATGTCCGCTTAACGAAAAATTTTTTTTTTTTATAATGATAACGCCTTGTAAAGGTGCGTACCTACTTGGGAATATACCAAAAGCGGGGACACAGAAAAAAAAAGTGTCTCCGTCGAAAAATTGTCTTTAATAAAGCAAAATTTGATTAAAATAAAGTTTGCAAATTTCTTTAAGGTGTAGATTTACCTGAAGGGGCGCAGATGACATGGTGTACAGCAGTTTAAGAAGAAAATTGTCCGAGCAAAGGTTGTGTAACACCTCCAATCCAGCGAGGAGGAATAATGACAATGTCTTTTGTATTATTTTACAGCTCCACATATTGTGCCCAAACTAACAATACCTCCATTATTTGTTGTCATTACAAATAATTCACTAAACAGATGCATCTTTAATTAGAGTGTCCAGAAATACCGTGATTTGGCGCATATTCTTGGACTTTGAGGAACGGTTATACATATAAGGCTATCAATGAGGGAACACTACAAGCAAATGGATAATGGCACCCCAAAGCAAGTTGGCACGTACGTATATATCTTATCAACAAAATCATGTCGCTCAGCAGAGCCATTGGGTTGCAGGTTTTCGCGTTTCGTAATCTGCAATCGTCTGTTAGATACCGCAAAGTTCTATGACGGACTTACATCGGCTACATGAAAAAAAAAAGAAAACGTGAATAAAATGACGCTCGTTGGACGTCTAAAAAAATTGGCTACATTATAATAGTCAATAATGAATATCTATCAGTTCGAGTTAAATTTATTCAAGGTAAAAACGTTTTTGTTGGATATTGATTTTGTAAACGTATCAATGTCATTTTTTTTCCTCAAAAAAAAAAAAAAAAATGATCAGTGATATTTAAATCTTCTAAAGTGATTGTAGAAAAAAAAAATTTTTTTTTTGATTTTCTACGTTTTCTACCTGATTTATCATGCATTATTTATGTAAAACGCTATAAAGCACAATAACAATTCCACCAAAGTAGAACCCCCCCAAATCGCCCCCCCCCCCCCAATTTTGAGCTTGTACAATATCAATTTTTCTATATTGTAAAATTGGTCATTTACAATAAAAAGGCCGCGAACTCTCTTACTCTCTTCCCTGCATTTGTTGTTCGCTCATCACTTGGTATTGGTCTCTTAGCTTTCGCGTCATTGCACAAAGGTAGGTTATATATACTATGTACTCTTTCGTCTTTTGTGATCAATAAACTTTTGTCGGTATCAAAGAAAACTTTTTACTCCGGCTAAATATTGTCTCCCTTTTTTTGCGATATTCTTCATGTAGTTGTCAGCGCCAGCAAAGCGGTTCGATCTCTTCGCTGCCGTCTTCTATTCATCCCTCCCCAAGCAGCAACACACTACATTTGCATATATGCCTTACTGTACATAGCAACAACCATTATTCAAGTAACAAATATTATTCAACCATAGAATTAGCATCTAATAAAAATTTTTTTATCCCATTTTCGCACGAGCATCTCTAAACCACTGCTTTCTTCAAAACATTTACAAGCCATTTGTTTTTTTTTTGAACTTCACTCTATTTCGGGCCTCTCTGTTTCCATAATATACTCCACATTCTTCCAATCGTTTTACATTCGAAGCATAGCCAATAGCATTACGCAAAATAAAAAAAATTCTTTCCGAAAAAATACTCATTTATATTTTCACATTCAGCATTTCTAAGTAGAATTGTCGTTCGCCTAGAGCATTGGCTTTCAACATCCCTGCATATTATATATTTCCTCCCTTGACTTGTGTTCATTCACTCTCGCATTTTATAACAGTTTCTTCCTTTTGTATATATTCTTTTTTTTCGCTTTTTTCCCCCAACATTCATCACCATCACATTCAACTCTATCATGATCAATGAAGAGATATCTACAATCTTCGTCGTCGGTTTTCCTGATGACATGCAAGAACGGGAGTTCCAAAACATGTTTATCTTTTCACCGGGTTTCGAAGCTGCCACCTTGAAGATTCCACAAAAGGATTGTTCGGATGACGATGGCTCTGCAAACGGTAGCAGCGGAATTGGAAGCAGTTCTAACAATGGAATTATCAATGGTAACAATGCAAGGAAACAAATTGTACGTTTTAAGACACATCGAACCTTGGTTTTGTTTCGTTTCACTTGATGTTTGCATATAAACGAATGAACCTCGATTTCAGATTGGTTTCGCAAAGTTCCGTACCAGGCTTGAAGCACTTGAAGCTCGTGACATTCTCAGCGGAAGGAAAGTCGATGCCGAAAAGGGTTCCGTTCTAAAAGCAGAAATGGCAAAGAAAAACCTGCATACAAAGCGCGGCCTATCCAATGATCAAAATCCCGCGGCATTTCCTCATCTCCCTGCTCCTAACAAACGTTTCTCGGCTTACGATGCCTTCCATTCTGTTCCACCGTTTGCACCAGCACAACTTCCAAGCGATCTACTTT